TGCACTCCGCTACATTCCTTTGCGCGCGGCATCCCTCTCGCCGCGACGCGACAATTTCGTTCCTACTGCACCACACCACTGCCCGTTATCCTTTACGTTTATACCTTGTACAGCCAATTTTCTTGACTGTCTGATAACAGCTTCTCAAAGATCCTTCATTAAAAGTGAGCCACAAAGAGAGGTGAAGCTTTGTGTATCGATCAATCACCTCTTCGAATCAGCCATGCATTCGATATGTGCTAAAAAAACGTTGCTATTTTGAACGGGCATTCAATTCATACTTCGAGCGTAGAAATCTATCTGCGTGTGGGTCAATATTATCATTATTCCCGACAGGGTCTCTTTAAGAATCTGCTCTCCGTTTCGATTGAATGTCTTTTTGGAGCGGCAACGCGCTCTGTATTCTTCTAGAATCATAGTGGCTTTTGAAGGCTTTTGTAGGGTGTCGGCTCATACTATGGATTAAGGATCAGTTGATGTTTGGGTTGAAATGATCAATCTCCTGAATATGAATGGTACTAAGGACCCCAAAGGAATGGAAGTTTTGGGCTAGGCTAATTTAGGATCGTGTTTAGTCCCATAAGTATGGAAACGGAAAAGCACACCTTAAAGACACAGTTAACGATAATTTTGGGGTCCCCTTCTTGGGGAATATAAGGCTTTCTAAAAGTAAGGGAAGTAGAGGTTGTACGAGATCACCATGGCGGGAATGTCATGTAAATGGTGTTTGGACAAGATTTCACTTGCTCCAACTAAACAAAGATCTAACTAGATCAAGCCGAAATAGTCAGAAACTGCCTTTCAATGTCGCCTTGGGTCATGACAAGTTGTTTGAACTTCCTATATGGGAGTCTCTTGAAATAATGCAGCCTCCACAGCGCCTTTGAAACCCGTCCACTATGGGTGTGGGGCAAGATACAATCTCTGGCCCCTTGTTGTGGCCTATACAGGACATTTTCGACCTTATATCAGCAGGTATGGTATAAGGGCGGTNCATGAACTGCTAAGATATGCAAATGTACTGATATATTGAGTATGGTAGATGACGGAGTACCTACGAGAACCGCTTACCACCCACCTCTTCCTTTCCGTCACGGAGGCGCGAACCGGACAACTCCAGGGCCCAGTGCCGAGTGGACAGCTTAAATGTGGGAGTTACTAGCTGGCCAAGTAGTGGCGGAGGAGGCGCAGAAACTTATGCCAACAAATGTCGGGGGATGACACCCTCCTGCTAAACAACATACCAAAAGGAGGTGATGAGCAAATACGAATGTGGCGATAGTGAGCTAAAGTAGTTGTATTCAGTCCTTCTCACTGTCTCATTCAGTCATTGTTGTACTTTACTGATTTGCATGCAGCTTTTCACATTCAACTGTGCTTACAAGTTGTGGAATTTCGAAAATTCTCACCTTTACATCCCCGGTCTCCTGCCGATGTAGCGTTATGGAGCTTATGGTTGAAGTGTCCTTGGATAATAGAGGGTCAAAAGTATCCTACCGAAAAGATAAACCCAAGCTTGTAAGAGCATATGAATGGATGTCCAGGTATCACCTGTATCACTTTTCGTCCCTTCAATCATCGACTTCCTAGGGTGCCGCGGGTGCCAGTAACGTCTT